AAGATGGCTCAGTAGAATAAGTGCTTCCCTGGCAAGCACAAGGGCCTGAGTTCAATCCCCGGTCCTGCCAATAAATAAATAAATATGCTTTTGCTGGGCAAGGTAGTGCGTGCTCGAAATCCCAGCACTCGGGAGGCGGAGGCAGAGGGACTGCCACAAGTCTGAAGCCAGCCTGGGCTACACAGTGAATTCAGGGGAAGCCTGAACTATACAGCAAGACTGTGTCTCATAAAAGAAATCAGTTTCTTTCCATTTTGCTTTAAAGATTCCTAACCACCAAGCAGGAGACAGAAACAGAGACATGAGTGAGATGAGAGTGAGGGACAGACCACGCAGGGCATGAGTGTGCCTGTGGGTGCGCGTGCACACACACACACACACACACACACACACACACACACACACACACGAGCAGAGAGCACCAGGAACCAGTCTGGTACATTTCCGAGTGCACCTGGGAGCACACAGAGGAAGAGCATGTTGGGGGTGCAGAGCCAGCGGCCAGGAGGGAACGTGCTGCTGCCCAGAGTCACTCCTGCCAGGGCTGCACCTGGTGGCATCTCCGGCTCTGTCTGCTTTCTTGGGCCACACAGTGCCCTGGGGCCTGTCCTGCAGTGGGCTTGGGTTGTTCCCCACTTCCTTGCCTCTCCACTTCTGAGGCCAGCACACACCGTGGCACCAGGACCTATTCACCAGCACTGTGGCTACCGTGTTAGCCAAGGCTCACAAGGGCCACAGCTGGGCGAGCTCTCTGTCCACCAAAAGGATCCTGACATCACCTTGGGCCACAGATGGCCCAAGGCAGCCTTGTCTCCAAGTCTCTGAGTAGCACCTGAGTTCTTTGCTACAGAGCCTCAGGAGCACGGGATACGGGATACGACCATCCCTGGGGGCCACTGTCCAGCCTGCCACACTGCTGGCCCAGCAAGGCCTCTCCTTGGACCCAACTGTGGCATTAGATTGTGGGACCACTTCCAGGAAACAGCACAACCCAGGGGCATAAACTGCGGGTGGGGTGGGGTGGGGGGACTGTGTACCCTGAAGGCACCAGGGGAGGGGCTGCTCCAGCCCCTTCTGACTTAGGGGCGGCTCCACCCAGTCTTCACGTGACCTCTCTCTTCACCGTGTGCTGGTTTCTCTTTCTCACAGACACCACTGTCACCCTGCCTCGGGTGCACACCCTGTCCCAGTATGACCCCTTAGGCTGTCAGTACAGGAATTTCTGACAGACCACAGTTCAACTCCCAGTACACACAAGGGCTGAGGAACACGGCAGCGGGGGCTCTGGAAGCAGCCTCAGCGCCTCAACAGCCTGGTGGAGTGACTACGGGGAGCTCCGTGTGGCCAGGAAGATGAGTGAACTACAGTCACCTAAGAGCTAGGATGGACCTCCCAGGGGGCGGAGAGAGGAAGGCGTGGCTTCTTGTTCTTCCCTTTCCTCTCTCTTGAGCAGGAACCCTGGGTGGGCAGGTGAGGCAGGTTGGGCCGAGCTGCAGTGCAGGGAGGAGGCAGTCTGGGGGTGCTCTGGAACAGAGGGAGAGCCCAGGCACACCCAGAAGAAGGACACAAGCCTCAGAGTAGCTCTTAAAGGAACGCATCCCACCTATGGGGGAAAGGTTACTTCTCTGTGGAGACCCTGGCAGATGCGTCACCAGTAAGGGCGTCGCATCAAGAATTTCCCCAAAGTCACTGTGGGTGTGACCCGGAACGGTCATCCCCCTCCCGGGCACCTCGCTTCCGTTCTGCTTCTAGCTGCTGTGAGAGAAGCAGCTCTCCCCACTAGGCCCCTCGATACTGAATTCCGTCTTGGGGCCAGCCAGGATGAGCAGCGACCGTGAGCCCACATAAACTCTCTGCCTCTAAACTGTGTCAGGCACTCTGTACCAGTCATGACAGAAGGCATCTAAAATAAACTTTGGTGCCCGGAGTGGGATCATTTTTGTAGCTCTCTGGCCATGTGGTTTAGCAGCCTTTGAAACTGGCTTGTGGGAGATGGTCGGAAAGGCTTGCAGATGCCAACTAGAGAAAACGTCAGCCGGCTTCGATGGCAGACTCTGGTCAGTGCTCAGAAGATTAGAGTGATGACAGCCACACCGCTGGTAAAGAACAGGCTCAGGAAGTTTCAGCTGGACACAAGAGCGTCACTGACGGACTCCGGGCCATACATACCAGGCTCTGGCAGAAAACCTGCTACCACTTTATTACGTCCTGAGGCTTTGTGAGAGTCTGAGATTCAGGCTGGCAGACTAATGTGGTGGAGGAAATGTCAAAACAGCCAAATTCAGGCTGTGGCACGGGCACTGTTGGGGGCTTTTAGGCAGCTCTACATTGAGAATCAAGAGCAAACGGCACAGCTGAGTGGTTTTTGAAGTTCTCAATTTTGCCAGGAAGGGAGGGTCTGACAAGCTGGAGCAGGGAAGCGCTCAGCTCAGCTGCTGAAAAGACTTGCATTAACTAGAAGTCATGCACTTTGCATCATGGTAGTGGGAAAGATGCCTTGAGTGTGTCTCGGGAGCCAGCAAGGTCCCACCCTTCACAGACTCAAAAGAGTCCAAAAGTACGACTTGAAAAGAGATTCCTCGGGCCGGGAAGATGGCTCAGTGGAATAAGCGCTTCCCTGACAAGTACAAGGGCCTGAGTTCAATCCCTGGTTCCGCAAAAAAAAAAAAAAAAAAAAAGAAAAGAAAAGAGATTCCTCAAGCACTCTGCTGGAAAAGGGGCCATCTTGGATTTGATTTACAGTCCTCCATCATCCAGGCACTCAAAGGCCTCTGCAGCCATGACCCTAAGGGGCCTGGCTTCTGCTTGAGCTGGTGCCAGAACTTGGCCCTAACCACTTGGTGGTTTTACATGCATACAGAATGCAAGAGTCGTGAGATCTGGGAGGCCTCCACCCATATTTCAGAAGGCCTGGAATGCAGGCCGTGTGTTCCTGTGTGAAGCAGGGAGAGTGCAGCTGATGCAGGGAGGCTCCAGGAAGACGGAGAAGCCAAGACTGTGAAATGTCCACTGAGGAAGACTGCACACAGTGAGCTCAAGAGAGAAGCCACGAGAGCTGCGTCTGTAACGCCACAGAAGAAGGCCTGCTCACAGGGTTTGAAGTATACATCTCACCACCGTCACCGTTAGTGTCTCTTAGAGACAGACTAAAAAGCATTTTGCATACAGAGAGGCACAGGAGTCTCGTAGGGGTCAGGGCAGAAGGCCATGCTTCAGGTCCAGATGTCCCTCAGAGGCCTCCTGAGCTCACAGGTGGGGCTTCTGGAAGCGACTGAGTCGTGGGAGTGACACAGCTGATGCGCTCTAAGGAGGTGGTGTCAGATTGGGAGAGGCACTGGGGGGAGTGGCGCTGGCAGGGCGCGTCTCCTTTCCCGGTGCTCCCTTCTCCTCCTGCCTCCTGACCACCAACCAACGAGCAGGTCTTCTCTTTGGGTCTCTTCCCTGCTGGCCTTGAAACCAGCCATGGAGTGTAACGGACAGCGAAAATAGACTTCTCTTCTTTTAACTTGTGGATATTTGACGTTTTGCCCCACAGTGTAGAAAGTGACTAAGACAGGTTCAAACTGATCCCTGAGGGCCACCTGACAGGATGGAAAGAGCAGACTGGGACATCACTCCTGCCAAGATGTGCAAGAATGTCATCATGCGGTGTAATCGTTCACACACTGTCAACTTGAGGCGCGGGAGCTTCGCTAAGTAACTCCTCAGTTGTCCATCCTAGGGGGTGAGAGCAGGCCTGTTCCTCGGATGCAGTTCACTGTGTCAAGCTGAGGAGTTTAGAAGTTTAAGTGCGTGACCGTGACCGAGCACCCAGAGCCTGTGCAAGCGCGGGGCGGGCGGCGGTGCGAGGGCTGGTCAGCTGTCTCCCCGCTCTCGCTCCACTTGCTTCTGCCGTCTTCTGCCAGCTTGGTCGGCTGCCCAGTGCCACACCTCCCTGCCTCGGAGCCCGCAGAGTACCGGCTGATACCTCTGCAAACTGTGAGCTAAATACACCTTTCCTTCCTTAATTTTGGGTGTAGGGCATTTTGTCCCAGCAAAGAGAGAAGAGTGACCAAGACATGAGGGAACATCAGACAAACCCAGTGAGGGGCTTTCCCTAAGCAAGTGGCAGGGAATTCCCCAAGGTTGGAGGAGGAGGAGGAGGAGGAGGAGGAAGAAGGCCTGTGGAACATTCAGGACTGGGGTGACTCAGCAATCTGTGACCTGGTTGGGTCCTTTTACTTTGGGAACCTGTGGGACCAGCTAGTCAAACGTGCTTGACAGGGGCTGGGGCCAGACAGTGGCGGAATTTTTTTTTTTTTTTGGCGGAACCGGGGATTGAACTCAAGCCCTAGCGCTTGCCAGGCAAGCACTTATTCTACTGAGCCATCTCCCTGGCCACAGTGGCGGAATTTTTTTAAAATTATATATTATTATTTATATTCCTTATATTATTATTCCTTATATTATTCCTTATATTCCTTATATTATTCCTTATATTATTATTCCTTATATTATTCCTTTTTATATAAAGTTTGAAAACAGGTGAAACTTAACTCTGTTGTTAGGAATGCATTTCTACTTAGTAAAATTAAAGAAAAGCAAAGAAATCAAGGTCACAAAAGGAGTATTCCTTTACAGTAAACAGAATAGCAGGCGTCCCTCCCAGAATCTGGCTTTGCATCCTGAAGCTGGTCTCAGTCTCGGGGCAGAACCACCTCGCATCCCCTGGCGCAGGCGAGGACTCCGCCGACCTTGTGCGGAGGTAGTTGGCGCGCTCCGGAGCACGGAGTTACGCCCACAGCCCTCCTACCCTTCAGCACCGCTCCTCCCCCTCCGCGCCCCTCTCGGCACCCCACTTTCCCTCCCCTCTCCTTGCACACCGCTCCCCTCTCCCCCTCTCCCCGCAGCGCCCCATCTCCCCCGCCCGCGCCCCATCCTCCCCATCGCCCCTCCACCGCCCCGCAGCCCTCGCCCGTGGCCCCTCGCAGAGCTGGGGGGCAAGCAGCTTCACCACCCACCTCTCTTCGGTGGCGGCGACCCCTGTGGCCGGTTGGCTTGTGGCTGGGTCGGCGCTGGCTGCCGAGAGGCCACGCGCTTCCATGGTAACGGACTCGCGCAGGCGCAGTCGCCCGGGTCGGCTGCAGGTGGTGGGAGGCCTGCTGGCGGGAGCGCGGGGAGGCTTTGTGACCCCAACCCGGACAGGTCACCCCTGGCTGGCTTTCGTGGGGCCGGCAACCTAGAAAGCAGGAGCATTTCGGTGGAGCCAGGCCCTCTGTCCTCCGCGGAAGTAGGCGGGCCAGGACGCTGCGGGGTACCTGTGCCCTGCCATCCCTTGCAGCCCGGTGCTGCTGCCCACAGCCTGGCGGGCTGCTCCTCCGCGTCTGGAGAGTGTGTGTGTGTGTGTGTGTGTGTGTGTGTGTGTGTTTCTGGGTGTGCTACCCAGGGACTGTATCATTTAGCTACACCCCTAGACTCTTAAAATTTGTTAGCTATTTTGAGACTGCGTCTGGCTAAGTTGCCTAGGTGAGGCCCTCCTACCTCAGCCTCAGCCTCGCTCAGTGCTGGGGTTACAGGCACTGGGCACCCCGCCACGCTAGATGTGCATTTCAGTGCCTTAAAAAGTAACCTGCAAATGATTTCCCAGCTGTGTGCAGGAGCACCGTAGAAACTAGACTCCTCTAAGTGTGCGTGTGTATTTGGTTATGAAATCATATAATTACAAACCAAAAATAAATAAAAATAGAAAAATCCTAAAGCTTGGAAATAGGATAAATCAAATGAATTGGGCTGTTCCAGTTAGAAATTTGACAAGTACAGAAGAATGACGTCAAGTGACTTTGAGCTCAGCAGATGACTGTGCAGCCCCAGTGGACCACGTAAGAAGGCCAGCTGTGAGGATGCCTCGGGTCATTTGCGGTAACCTTGGCGTCTGAGTCGCTTTCCCCTAGCTGGGACAAAATACCTGAGCCTACAGCTGGGAGGCAGAGGGGCTCCTCGGCCCACAATTTCTGGGGGTTTGTCCCTGGCTGCTGGTCTAAGGCAGAAGCTGGCTTGGCCGAGGGTGCGCCCGCCCGCCCGGGAGGGCCACTGGGAAGGGAGCAGGCGGTTCCTCCAGGCCAGCCCAGCAGGCCCCACCCCACCGCTGGGCCCAGTCGCCTCCCCACTCAGCAGGCTACTGGGGACATCTGGGATCTAAGCTGTAACCCGGTCACATCAGTATCGCTGTTGTGGAGTTGTGACATGAGGCTCAAGCAGCCATGTAGTGTGTGCGGCACAGTGTTATGAGGAGCCGGTCTTTTCAGCTTTCCGGAAGATACATTAATACAAAATGAGAAATAAAAACTCTGGATTTTGGATGTGAGTGCGAAATTTAGTATGAATTTCTTTTTCAGTGCTGGGGCTCAGGTCCAGGGCCTTGTGCATGTTGGCCGAGCACTCCACCTCTGAGCTAATTCTCCAATCCCGATATTTTTCTTTTAAAATATATTTCTTAGTTCTGTCTCCTAAGAAGATGTGCAGCTGTCCAATTGATCATGCACTGATCATGTGGCGACTTAC